ATTTAATTTTATTACAAATTTATATTTTATGTTGTTCATATATAATTTAATTCGGATTTAAATTATTTTAAAATTTTAAATTAAACAAGTTTATATTAATAATTTTTTTATATTAATTTTGGATCAAATTGATGAAAGCTGATCCAGCTGAATATGTTGTTCAATATCCAATATTGCACGCCATCCCAATCAATGTACACATGGAGGATGCCTACCTTTACGTTGGGATTTGAATGCAAAATGCTTTTAGAATAAACTCATTTATTTTCTACGATACCAATCGTATCCAATCTAACCCACCGAAAATTTGGTTGCATTAATCTGATCATTTGGTTGACCGCCTTTTTTTTTTTTTTTTTAAGTCTCCTGGCAGTTCCATTTGGTTAGATTGGGTTCATTGAGCGGGGCACATGCTCCTAATATCATCTCCACTTTCCAGCAGCAAGTTGGAAAACGATTCTTTAACTTTTAGGTGAACTTCCACTTCTACCGGCATTTCTGTCCCACTTATTTCTTCATTAAAAAAAAATATTCTAATCTTTTTTAGAATTGAGGGTTTTCAAGGAAAACGGATTCAAATATTTTAATTTATTCCCTTGTAAAGCACGTCCATGTTTTAAGGTTTGGCTGGACAATTCATTACTGCATTATCTTAAAAGAGACATCCAGTAATTATAGTTAAAATTTCATTTTGGATGATAAAATGTTAAATTTTTAATTTTAGTTATCAAGATTCAATTACTGACATCTTCAAATGTAATAATAATAATAATAATAATAATAATAATAATAATAATAATAATGTTGAAGCTTTCAAATTCGAAATTTAATACAGGTAAAATGACATTTATAAAATGAAAACAAGTTATTAATTGTTGTGTAAGTCAAGATCTTTACCTATCCTTAACAAAAATATATCGACATTTTATTTAAAATTATTTTGAGAAATAGCATATTAACAAACATGTCTCATTTATAGAGTTTTAAAATCTACCAATAATAAAAAAATTTCCATATATACATTAATTGTTTTCATTATCTTTATAGTGGTAATTCTCTGATTTTTATAAAATTTAAAAATTTTATCACCAGATAATTTTTTTTAACAAATATATATAAAGCATCTCGAAAAGCTGAAACAGTGCTTTACAAGAAATTGTTTGTTCCCAAAGCATATTTTGCAGAATGCAAATGTACAGCCAAACCCTAAAAACATGGGCTTGTTTCCTTCACCGGTCAGTCTATGGGATCAGTACTTTGCCCATTTATATCAACTTCTTATGCCATTGTCATCAAACTCAGCTTAAACACACAAATTATTCTTAATTTAACTAAATTATCAAATCATAATCATTTTGATTAAACAATTTGAACTATCACATGGATATCTCTTAAACCTCACATTTCATACCAAAAGTTGCACATTGACATTAATAGCTTCTTATTTTATTATTATAAATTAACACCCTTTATGTCTAATTTTTTTTGTTACATTAAGAAGACAAAATCTTAATACAAGTAAAAAAAAAAAAAAAAAAAAAAAAGGGGAGATCTAACTTGAAATCAAGTCATTAATGTCCCTTCAAATACCTTTAACCATTAAGTCAAATGCTTGGGGATAAAATAAATATTTTTTTTTTATCTTTCCATTGAGTCCTTTTACTTATTTATTTATTTTTACAAAATTTTTAAAATAGTAAGTTGCTTTCATGCCAAGATAATTCAAACGCAGTAACACTTAATAATCGAGGCAAACAATCCCATCAATTGAATCAATTTATCTTAATTTTATTTATTCCAATGAATTCATTCTCTTTTTTTTTTTGTAATGTAAATAGAAGTTTTTAATTTTATGAGTTAAGAGACTAATATATGTCTTATTTTTTAAAATATTCTTATTTTTAATATATTAAAAAAATGTCATTTTACTAAGTCTCATTTGTGAAATTTAAAAATTTCATAAACGATAAATGAAATAATTTCTCTATCTAATTTTCTTATCTATTAAAATTAATTTCACAACCTTACAAAATAATAAAACATGATTAGATTACATATGATAATTAGCCACAAATAGTTGTTGAATCAGAAATGTGTAATTGTAAAATTTTGGAAACACCAAAACCTTTTTTTTTCCTTTTCCGAATATTAGGAAAGACTTAAAAAAGTTATCCAAAATTTAGTTCATTGTTTGTTCATTGATCAAACAAATAAAAATTATGTGTAACGGTCCATTATGATCATTTTGTTTGAACAGACATGGCGGTGTGTTTATGTACACTGAACCAATAAAACAAATCAAAAGAATCCAAAGGCATTGAATAATTTTTGTAGAGACCAGATAGCAGTTATTAATGGTGTTTTTTTTCTTCCCTTCTACATGTGATTATAGCAAACCTCGTCTTGTAATTAGCTTTGATTACAGAAGGCAGGTAAAAGATAGTAATTAAGCATTAATCTCAAACTTCTAAAAGAAGAAAAAGGAATAAAATTGACCCTATGAATCCAAAGGTCTACGATATCTATAGAACCCATTTGTATTTTGACAGTTCCTACAAATTTCACTTCTTTGAAAACCTAATTGCCAACACAAACAGACTGCCTTAGCCACCATAGCTTGTTCAAGAAACTGGTAATTGTTGTTATCTAGCTGTGGTTTGGACTGGGCAGAGTTGGCACTGGATAACCCAGTTGAGATCTTGCCAGCTGAACTAATCCCAATTGAAAGCTCCAAATTTAACTCTTGCCCATTACTTGGATACTTATCCTTGTGCTGTTGTTGGAGGCGGTGACAGTGGTGTTGCTGTTGTTGTTCTTCATCTGTAGTCATGCCACTGCTGGTACAATTGCCTTCTTCAAGGCATTCTGTCTTGGCCTTAACTTGAAATTCATTGTATGTGAAATCCAGAGATGGGGCTGTAATAAAATTGGTTTTCGAGACTCTGGTTTCGTTTTTGAAATCCAATTTAGTGGGGACCGTTGCTGTGGCTTTCGCTGTGTTATTTGTATTGGCAGTTTCATTCAGAGGACGATGAGTTTGTGGATCAATTCCTCTGCTTATAAGCTTTCTTTTGATGTGTGTGTTCCAGTAGTTCTTGATCTCATTATCTGTTCTTCCTGGTAATCTTCCAGCAATTAAAGACCATCTGCCAATAGATTCAAGAACAGGAAATCTGTCAGATATGATGAAATTGAAAAAGATGTTCAAAGTAAAAATCTTTCGCTAAAAAGAAAGGAAAAAACACTCGCTTGTTTCCAAGTAAACTGTGAAGTTTGATGATAAGTTCATCTTCCTCTTCAGTGAAATTTCCTCTCTTGAGATCAGGCCTCAAGTAGTTTATCCATCTTAATCTGCAACTCTTGCCACACCTAAGCAGCCCTGTATGCATAATTCAAGAAACCAAATTACTAATAAACAAGAAAAGAGAAAAAAGAAAGAATTGAAACGTTGGTTAGAGATGAAAGTGAACTTACCTGCAGCTTTGGGGAGGGAACGCCAGCAACCTTCTCCATGGACACGGATATAGTCAATGAGGCGCTGGTCTTCCTCTTTGGTCCAGGCACCTTTGTTGGTATGTGCTTTTTCACAGCAGGGTGATCGTCCCATGAATTCTGAAATCAACCCCTCGTTGAATCAATCAAGGTACGTAGCTGATGCTAAATATATTCAGATTACTAGTACTAGGAAAATGGATGAGTTTGTGTGTTTATATGTGGATGGGTGTTCCAGTTTGAAAACTGATGGGAAGATGTAATAATTATTTGAAGGGGGGTTGTTATTGATGGGATTTATATACGGGGAGAGAAAGGAGGGAGGAGCCAATAGACTCGATGTTTATGAGGAGGGAATGACCCTGGATGGGGGTGGGATTTGACCAAGTTGGTAAGAAAGACAAGTGGTTAGAGATAGGGCAGGATTTGGTAGGTAGCTCAACTTTTACGTCAGATTCATATTTTTTAGGCTGTCTTTCTTTTCATTTTGTGGACGACTTAAAATTTCAAAATCCAAATGGTTCCAATTCCAAGGTGTTTCTACACACCAATACCAACTTTCACATCATCACCATAATGGCATAAAAAAGTGGGTCATGTGTGGCCTCATGTTTTCTCGTCCCAACTCTTCCGTTGGCTAACTTTTACCTGCATTAATTGTTTGGTTGGCTTAACTCTTACCAAAAGATTGGATCCCACACCTATATTAGATTTTTGTTTTGGTAACGTGGTCTAAAATGTCTTTAAACTTTATTTAGATTTAACTTTTTTTCATCTATGATCTTAAAGATGCATTTTACTGTAATAATTCGGTGTATTACATTATTCTTTATAATAACCGAATTACCTTATCATTTCTTTGTAAAATTATTTTAGGTTAGGGTATGTGACGAAAGTATTATCTTGAGTAGAACCACGAGAATTAGCTCACATACAATAAAAGCAACAAATATATGAAAGAGTTCAACAAAGTATAGGAATTACAGTTTGAGTAGTATAATAAACGGTAAGACAAGAGGGATATCAAAAGGAAAAATTTAGCATTGAATTCAATTCAAACAACAGGCAGTCAGCATAACCTTCAATAATATTATTTTATAAAATCCCAAATTTGACTTAAAATAGATATGAAATAAGGGTCTTCCTTTAGAATTTCGTATTACCTACTAAATTACTTATCATAAGATTCTAGGTTATTACACTTCAACAAGCACATTCCCCATTTCTCCAAAGAACAAAAAAAAAAAAAGAACTTGCGGCGTATTATTTTAAGAATTGCCAAATTAAGTCTCTTTTTTTTAATCATAGAGCATATATATAAATTCACACACAAACTAATAAAGACAAAGGGAGAGAAGAAAAATGGTACTAACCAATTTTGAGGTAGAGTAGCTTTATTATTTTACTAGTTTGTGGGCCCGCGCTATGCTGCGGTCTGTATAATAATGAAGTAAACAATATTGTTTACACAAAAAAATATTCATAATCTAAAAACTGTAAGCTCTATATTCTTTGTTTGGTACCCTTTTCCTTTCAACATGAACTCTCTATCCAATATATGTATCACTGTCTAGAATGTATTTAGCTTTGCCACCAAAAAATAATGCCCATTAGAAAGTGAGCTAAAAAAGTACCAAAAATTATAGTTGGCAACAATTCGCAATCTTAAGTAGTGATGTCTCAAACATTTCCTATTTCTCTTTTCTTTCAAAAATTCATGAAAAACTTTCCATTTCTCTTTTCTTTCATGTCTAATATCCCAGTGAAAAGGATCCTCAGGTCCTTTTCGTAATTCTATTGATTATAAACATCTTATTTTCAAAGTAGAATAGCATTACAACAACAGACTTCAAGCCGCATTATTTGTTTTTCCCAATTTTTTAGCTATAACATTAAATTCTTGAAGATTTAATTTTTACCAATAATACTTTTGGTTTCATAGCTAAAGCTTTGATGAAAATTATAACACGCAGCTTTTGGACCAAAATTCCTATCAAAACTAAACAAAAAAGTTACTTAAAATTTCATCTTTCACCTATTTCTTTGTCATTTACCAACCCTGTAATTGCTAAAGCTTTCAGAACCATATGAGACACTAGAAAAAGTAGAATATCTTGTACTAACAGAAAACAGTAACTATATCACCCTTAGACCCATATGCCACACCCGGCGAAAGGCTTGAGATTCACATATCCAAGAAAAATAGGACAACAACAAAAAATATATATACAAAACACAAAATTATATAAAAATAAGAAAAACTAATCAAGCACCCGAACATGAGGGCTAAAGAAAACCATCACAATTAATCAGATGTTCTCTAAAGTTACGGAAAGATCATAGGAAACCAAAAGGCTAAGTGATCAAATTCTAAAGTAAACAACAATTTAATAATAATCACCCCTTTGAATGCCAAATTCATGGGAACATCGTTCGATTATTTTAAAGACAATGCAATTTGCAATTACCCAAAATTTCATCCTCTAAATTATGTACCATACCAGTCAATGCAGGTCAAGTGATATGAATCTCAAAGACACTTTACACAAGATAGGATAACAGCTTTCTATATGACAAATCAAAATTGAAAGTCCACACCTCAGGCAAAATGTATAACCTTGAATGATAAAAAATTCAAAGAACATGTTTGCCTCCAGATATATAATTTGCCCGGTCACTCTAAGACCAATGTTATGAGGAAAAATAGTGGCTTTATATACATTGTTGTGGCTGTGAACTGCATCAATCCCATATATCATGGGAATCCCAAGACAGGTGGACAAAGACCCCTCTTGCATTGAGTTCACCATCTTAATCCAACTCTCAGGAGTAGCTTTTGAGGCAAGTACACTCCCTACACAAGCCATACAACCTCCATTTACAACACAGCTCAATTTTCATAAAGAACAGCATTAAGCAAGACAACTATTTAGATAAATGTAAGAAAATAAATGATTATTGTCTTACACACTAGTAGCAAGTTCAAAATTTTTATGGCACAAATTTAATTCCTTTACTATTCTCAATCTTTTCTTTTTAGCCTTCATGTTCACTGTCTTTTCATCATTCACTAAATGCCACCTTTCTGCTGCCATTTTCTATTTTGGTAACCTTTTCTCTACTTCTCTGTCCATTTTCAGCCCATTCAATTCTCTCTCCCTCTTTTATTCACTCTTTTCAACCCTCTTGAAATCTTGTACTTCTAGCATAGAGAAATAATTTCAAAGTCACAAAAAAATAATGGCGAAGAGCATGGAAAGAGAAATAACTTCAACTTCTTTTTTTTTTTTTTTTTGTTCCCTGTTAATGCTATAGCATCTTATATTTTTTATGCAAGCAAAAACCATTTAGTTCAACCTAATGGGTTTAGTCATTACCTAAAATCATTATTGATTCTGTTTGTCACCAAATGACCATAACAAAGTTTAGCATGAGTTCAATAGGATTTTTATTAATTACAGTTTGATGGCAATGATCGTTAATCTACCAAACCTCATACCTCAAATATATCAGACCAAACAAAAAAGCAAAGATTCAAAAGAATATTTGCTCCTAAACTTAGGTGCGACTGTTGCAATAAACCAATTATAAATCTTTGAACAAATGACTCATTTCAAACTCAGCAGTGAGTTAAAAGATCTCAGTTCAAGACAATAACTGAAACAAAAGAATCATTCATGTCAAACCCATTGTTCTTTATTAGAAATATTCATTCTCTATGTCACAATAATACTCCATTAGCCCATATAGAATACATCATCATCAACTATACCATAACATGTTACTCACCCTATTCTTTACCATCTGCTTGCATGCATCCCATGCATCAAAAACTAATAACTTTATTTAACAGCAAAACTAATTTATCCAAACTACTTTTAGAATATATGAAAGAGATTGAACGCTAAGCCCAAGCAAACAGTTAAATCCAATGTAGAAGACCACACAATCAACTCTCCATTTAAATAATAGAAGGGAAACCTTACATACATTCTATGAGCAGTTAGCGAATGAACTGAAAAAAATGTCAAAAACCTTTTACTGTTGAAAGGCCACATGGAATTCTCAAGTCATTATATTTTAGAGCCAATTTACAACATAAATCAAAAAGAGACCAGTAAATAAAATCAACATCAGTTAGATAAAAAAAAATGTTGGTTATAACCTATTGCTTTTTTTTTTTTTTTCTGCTTTAGCAAGTAGCCAGCCTGCATGCTAAAAAGATTCCTACCAAATTCCCACAACTTCTAATATAATATGCAATCAATATATCCACCGTTTGTATGTAAGGATTATCATGCATGTTGGAACATATTCACAATTTATGATGAATTATAACAGCCCACCAAATTCCCACAACTTTCAATATAATATGCAATCAATATATCCACAACTTTCATTTTTGAACTTGCTACCAATAAGACAATAATCTTTTTTTTTAATATGTTGGAACACAGAGATCAAATAGAAGTTAGAGCCTAGCAGCATCATTTATGAGCTTTTCTTCACAACAGGGATGAAGATAGAAGCAGTACCTTCAGATCCCTATGAAGAAAACAGTTTGAGTGTAGGTAGTCCACAGCCAATAGCAATTGAGTCATCCATTGGCAGATTTTCTAGGGAGCCAAAGAGAACAATAAAAGGGTGAATACCATCTCTAGCATTTGCATATAAGTAGTTCAATTGCATGAATATTGTATTACCTCATAATGAAAGGGCATACCTCTGGCCTTTTTAAGCTCAGCCCTGATACCAACAAAAAATGTAAGTGCCCCAATTAGTCTTTCATAAGCATCAGACAGAATTTGCTATCTTTTTTTCATCCTGAATCGCTATTTTGTTACATTGTAATCAAATAAAAGCAGACAATCAATAAAACATAAAATATAGCTGACTATAAAATCCCACTCATTAACTTTACTAATGAGAAATTATTCTTTTCATCATCGACTACTTCTGTTGAAAGATTAAAAGTTGAAGATAAGAAATATTCAATTTTTAATCACTTCTTAACCAATCTAGCAAGTTAAATCTTATATTCCTCAATTACCCTTTTAATTTTTTCCGGTATATTAGAAAATGGGAAGTCAAGGGATTAAAAAACTAAATCTTAAACAAAATGAGGAAGAAGAAAATATACTGAAGCGAGAGTACGAATCAAAGTAATAATCAGCACTGGTTTTATCATCATCGCCATCGTAATCAACAAAGGAGATGTCGGATTCTCCCATGGTGACATCTTCAGTAGCTTTATTAACGGCAACGATTGACTCATCAAATATTGGAGCTGTTGGTGACAACTTCCTCATCATCGGCGTCTTGGAAACGAATCTTCATTCCTTCGAATTTGTTCGAAGAGCTTGTCGAGGTTTGTACTTTCCAAGGTTTGATGCATGCAAGTTTAAAAGCATTTGGATGAACAAAGCAAAAATTAATATATATATATATATATTCTTTTATTATAGATTGAAAGCTCAAATAAAAGATCAATTCTATGATATCAGAACAGAAAAAAGCAAAAAAATTTAAAAAAGTCAAAATAATATTAAAAAAAATCGTTCACCTTTCTTGAACAACTCACCAGCTCTTTCTTGTCTTTCTTCTTGGGGTCTTTGGCCAGAGCTTTTGTCTAGGAGGTTTTGGCGAAAGCAACTTGACTTTAAAAGCAAACATGTTACACTGCCAAATTTAAACATAAATATCAAGAGATGGAAAAAGAAAGCTAGCTAGGAGTCTCCTGCAGATTCACAGAGCCATCAAAAAATATACAAAAGACACTTACTTCCAAGGAAAGAATTATCATATAAATAATTATGGTATGAATCCCACACACCCCATTGCAGTTCATCATTTGAAGTTCCATTTACTCATGCCATCAAATTGATTAATTAAACTGCAAATTTCCATCGAATTTTGTTTTGAGGTGATAATGCCTTACTCAGCATGGAAAATATTATACCAAAAATATGATAAAAATGACAGAAAGAAGCCATTCCATTTTCACTTATTGCAAATGCAACCTGCTTCTTCTGTTTAGTGCAACTGAAAATCATAAGCATTTCTTCCCGGTTATACTCTGGAGGGTGGTGGGAGGAGAATGGGGAGACTATTGAAAACCACTAAATAACTAAACAGAAGAAGCAAGTTCCATATTAATATCGAATTGTTTGATACAAAAACACCAAATAATGTTCTTCAAAAAAAAAAATCAAACAATATCAACCATTAACCCCAAAAAAGAGATATAAAACAAGGATGTCCTAATATGGAAAAGAAATAACACAAGGGTAGATAAATTTGAATGGATTCTTGCTCAAATAAATTCTACATAATCTCAAACTAAAAAGTCTTTCATGCATGCAAAACCCACAACAAAAAATCCGGAGAAAAAAATGAAAAGTGAACCCAAAAATGGAAAAGAAAACCAATTAATAAGCTAAACATTCAAATTCCAACCCACCATCCCATGCTCCAAATCCAAGCATATTCAAATCCTATAACCTTATAGACACAAGAAAAACCTTCTTAGCAAACTAAATCCAATAAATTTTAGTAAACAAAAAAAACGCAAAATATATAATCTGCATAGAAAAGACACATAAACAGAGAAGAAGAATTAGATAAAACAAAAGAGTAAAAAACCCAGACAAATAAAAGCCAAGAAAAACAAAGGGAAAGGAAAAAAGAAAAGAAATACCTTTAGGATTTGATAAAGTAAAAGACAAATAACAGAAGTGTGGATTGTTCTTCTAAAGCTTGGATTTTTACTTGAGAGAGAGTGATTTGAAGAAAGAAATGGAAAATGGAATGCTACTAAGAAGTTTCTGGAAAAGAAAAAGAAGACAAAAATTATCCCTACGTAGTTTCGATTTACATTGCTGAGCTGTTCCCATAAAGACAACTTTAATATATTTTATAGATTATTGAAGTGTTTATTTGGTAAATGGTAAAATTAATTGCATAGAATTAAAAGAAATGTTAGTGATAAGATTAATTATTATAAAAATAAAATAAATATTTAATTTTATTTGAATCAATTTAAATATGTTTGATTTTTATATTTAATTTTTTATTTTTATTTGAGTTAATTTAAATATTAAATTAAATTAGATTTGTTCGAATTTATTTTAGATTAATTAAATTTATTATTATTATTATTATTATTATTATTATTTAAGATTAATTGCATTAATAAATAAAATATAAAATAAAAATTAATTAATTACAAAAAAAGTACATTACAAAATTAAATAAAAAATGGATAAAAAAACAAAAAAGAACAAAAATTCAAGCTATATAAGGCCAAAATTTTCAATTACTACTTTGCAATCAGAGCAACAAACACCACTACCTTACATTATCTGCTACCAGAACAAGCCAAATTTTTAGTTTGATGCAAGAAATTATTGCAGCTCTGTGGAAAAATTGGATTTTTGAGTCTTAATATACAAATAACATATTAGAAAGGGGGCATCCATTTTTTTTGTAAGACAAGCCACCCTCGACTTTGGTCTCTTCCACTTCAGAGCCCCAGTCTCCATCACCACAAACTTCCAGACCCTATCACCAGCCTTAACCAACCCCCAACATGACTTAGAATAGTTTGTCCATCCTAGAAACCTTGGGTAACCCTTAATACCATCAACATCTTCACTAAGCAACCCAAACCATCTTTTCAACAGAACCAATTTCCTACAAATCCATTTAAAACCTAGACCCTTCCCCAATATAAAACCCATCAGCCACTAGATAGCTGTACCCCTACTAGAACCATCGACACATAAGGCCCCAAGAAGGCACATACCCAGAACCACCCCAACCCATTTTATTCCACCAAGTTCAGCATACATCTTTTCCTTACTCACCCCACCAGTTTCTGCCTACTACCCTAACATAGACATAGCCCCTCAATCAACCCTTTCACTTCAACAGCCCTTGCCTTGCCACTTAGACTTAACGCAATCCCCTTAAAGCCTTCTTTATATCCCAAACCCTAACACCAACCCTTGTAGGCATCCACCCAAACAACCTTCTATTCACCCAACCTTCACCCAGACCAGCCTTAGCCTTCCACGAGAACCCACCAAAAACCAGCCTTGAACAGACCTTATTCAACCATTGACCTTAGCCTTGCCTAGCCGTAATACTCGTCCCCAACCAATACCCAACCATCGACCTCCTATCACCAAACAACGTCCCCTCCTAACAAAACTCACTAAGGCTCACACCACCCACCAATCTTAACACGACCCAACCTCTTACTTGCCTTCACCTGCACCTATCATCCATATCTATCGCATATCCACCAACAGCCACAAAACAACCCACTGCCACACCCTTGCACATAGCAACTTGATTGCAGAACCCAAATTGTTCACCATAACCCATCAAAATCCCCAACACTTTTAACCAACAGAAAACTTCTTGGTGAACCACAAGAAAAAAACCTTACCAAAAAAACCCACAGCCAAAAAATATAAATAAAAATAAAAAATATATCATAATCCTCCACTAAGGAAGAAACACAATGCCATAGCCAAAGCCAAAGCCATTTGGAAAATAAAACAAAAAAAATTATTAGCTTCAATTTATAAGAAAAAGAAAAATGAAAAATGAAATAAAGAAGGGAAAATGAGCGGCTGGGTGAAGAGTAAAGGAAGGGGTTCAGCTAAAAAGAACAAAGAAGAAGGAAGAAGTTGTAGCATTGAACCACAAAAAATAAAAGAAAGAGGAAAGGAAAAACGAAGAAAAAAAAGGAAAAAAAAGACAAACGGATGTCAGCCAATGATGGAAAAACGACGGGTGTGACGACCTGTGGTCGATTTATGAAAATAAGAAGGGCCAACATCTTTGGCCTCTATGAGCTTTTGAATGGTTTTTTTTTTTTTTAGGAGAAAGGTCTGAAATGAAAGAAAAAAAAACTAGTCTTTTATAGTTGAAAAAGAAAAAGCTGAAGCTAAGCCGCTTGCGAACTTGACTTAACCTGGGATCCACGTGCCTAACCCAGTTTTCAACCCTGTCACAGCCTTGAATTGGTCCAACTAAATCATTTCTAAACTAGTTTGAACTATTTGGACCTTTCTCAAACCATTTGCTGATTTAGAAGAACTGGACTGGACCTGTCTAAGCTAAAAATGAATCACTCCGAACCATTGACCAACTTTGACCACTCTTTTTGGGTAATTTTATTATTTATTTAGTCATTTATTTATTCTTAGTATATTTTTGCTAAGTTATTTATGTGTTTATTTGTTCACATTCAAATCTTAATTTTTTTAAAATAAATACATATTAAAAAAAAAGGGTTAAAAAATTTTTTTTAAAGCAAAAACTAAAATTTTTTAATGATGAGACTTTGGGATGTCCAAATAGTAATTAATGAGAATTTTTTATGTAAGAAAAGACTTTTAAAAATGACCAAAGTATTGGAATATTTAGAAACTCTTTTCAATACAAAAAATTTTTATTTTTATTTTCTTTAATTTGAATAATTTTCTTAAAAAAAAGATAAAAAATACATATATAAAATATTTATAAGAGTATTTTTTTTTTAGGAAATAAACTTATTATTACATAATTTTTAAATTTTAATAATTATAAAAAAATGAAATCTTCGAAGATGAGATTCCAAATAAATCAGAGTAGAGACTCTTTAAGAATTTGTAGGTGAAAAAATTTATCTAAAATCTCACCAATGTACTGAAGTATTTTAAATAATTTTTTATAACGATTTCTCATTTTGGTATAAAAAATAAATTTTAGAAAATATTACTTGATCTTAAATTATAGATATCTTATTCTACAATCTACTTATTAAATATAAATTTTTATGATAAATATGAATTGTCGATGATGGGATTTTTAAGAATTTCGAATAGTGATTTTTAAGATATCTTTAGATAAGAAAATTCCTTTTAATATTGTCAAAGTATTGGAATATTTTCGAAAATTTTCAATAAATAATGTTCTTATTTATTTCTTCAAACCAAGATAAAAAAAATAAAAATATGTGTTTCTCTACAATAAAAATATTAAGAAAATTAATTTTAAATATCAAAATTAAGACCATTTTAGTCCAAATTGAAAAATAACAGATAATTAATTGATACCTTTTTTTACAGACGATGCAGGAGTGCTAATCATTCTCCATACGTAATCGACTCATGAACCCAAATTATTTTTGTAAACCCAAAATATCATCTTTTTGATAAAGTTTTAATTAATTTTAAAATTTTTATTAAAAATGTAAATTTTAATAGGTGACTAATTGCACATAGCCAAAAAAGATTAGTGGTGACTTCTTTTTGTTTTCAAATTCATCTAGCGGTCTGAAAAATCGTTACGACAGCTTGGCAACTCTACTAGAAACGTTATTTTTTTAGAGAGTCAGGCCAAAAATTAATTAGGTGCTATCCTTAATTTTGATTTAGTGTCATTAATTTTGATTTAACTTTAATTTTCTTGATTTTGATTTTGTTTTTTAAAAAATAACAATAATAATAAAAACTTTAAATGCATTTCATTTTAATTATGTCACTTGTTCATTATTTACTTTATGTATATGTTATTCTTAATAAATTGTGAGATATGTAGTATAAAGATTGCGTTATTTTTTCTCATACACTCGATAACACATTTCATATCATGCATGAGCTCTATACTTGAGCCCCATCCCTTTGAGGAGGAAGTAGAGTACCTATGCTCTTATGAGGTGATAACCTCCGCAATAGCAAGTGAAATACTCTTACTTAAATTTGAACTATTTTCGATTATAACATATAATGAGTGAGGATCAATGTGCCTTACTAGTCTTGTGTGGACACAAGTGAGGAATAATTTGAGAATCTTTAGACATATAAATCCTTACTCAGCATATAATGAACCTTTAGGGATCAGCCTTCGATAGAGCATTGCCTACATTTTTGTAGAAATATTAAAATTTTAAAAAAAAAGCAATAGATAATAAAAGGAAAAGCATTTTCTTGAAAAAAAAAAGAAAAATTTCTTTTAACATATAGTTCATTTATTTTGTGGTTATCCAAAATTTGCATTTTCAAAAATGTTTTAAAATAAAATGAAAAATTTTTTAGCATTATCCAACAAAAAAAAAGAAAGCAAACAAACAAAATTTTTCAAAAATAAAGGTTTTTTTTAAATTCTTTGTTTATTGGTCAAATAAAAATTAATGAAAAAAGAAAAAAACCTTCGAATCCTAGTTATATTATGTGGAAAAAAGTGCGTTCTTGAATCTTTCCTTTTTCTTAAAAAAAAAAGAAAAAAAATTTAAAGTTTAAACAATGTTTCGTCTTCTGCATTTTCATTTGATCTTGTTGCATGCATTTTTATTTTTTTTAAATGATGGAAATAATGAGATAATACATACATTCCATTTTATCCCCATCAATAGATAGTACATACATTCCATTTCATACACATATACATGAATCCCATACACATCTTAATAGGTAGTGCATGCACTTAATCTCATTGCATATCTTAAGGTAGTGTCAACCTTATTAAGCTATCACAACACATACATTGCATTCCATATAGACATATCTCATGCACATCATAGGTCAGTGCATTTCATAAAAGTATGTTGCATTAGTCATACGTATACGTCTCATTGTTCATGTAAGCATGTCATTATATTCTATACATGTGGGTTCATGAATGATAGTGTTTTATAGAACATGCATAGCATTTCATATCCCATAGTTTCTGCAACATAACATTACATTTCTTGCATATACATTCATAGATAATGAATGTGTGAAAATCTATTGCTTTAGGCATATTTGCATTTCATGACATTTTCTTACATCCTCATCATATTCATAAAAATGCTTTGTGTGCCATATAAGTTGAAAAATAT